CATCATATATACATTCCATTCCATTACATTCCATTCCATTGCATTACATTACATTACAGTACATTGCAGTGCATTCCATTGCATTACATTACAGTACATTACAGTACATGCATGCATACATCCGTGCCGCCCCGCGGGCACCTCGCGTGCGCCCCGCGCTCGGGGGGTACGCCGAGGCTGAGGAGGAGGAGGAGGAGGAGGGGGAGGGGGAGGAGGAGGAGGAGGAGGAGGGGGAGGAGGAGGAGGAGGAGGAGGAGGAGGAGGAGGAGGAGGAGGAGGAGGGGGAGGAGGAGGAGGAGGGGGAGGAGGAGGAGGACTGCGATCGCCTGACGGTGGCAGACTTCTGCATGCACGCTGCCGAGCTCCCCCGCTCGAGACCGCGCGCCCCGCGGTGGCTTCTGTAGTTTTATAGGCCGGCGGGGGTACGCGAAGCGCCCCGACAGCGCTCAGGGAGGAGGGCGAGGAAGGCGCGGACGAGGAAGAGAAGTGCGAGAGTGAGAACGACGAGGGCGAGGAAGTGCGAGACGACGAGGGCGAGGACGAGAACGGCGAGGGCGAGGAAGTGCGACCTGCTGCACCAGTCTGGCCGCCATTGGCCTCTGCGTCGCACAGGCACCTGCATCGCGATGTGCCCCTCTTTGACTTCTCACCGTTTCCGCGCTTCTAGCGTAGAGGCCGCCTAGATGGGGTCGAAATAGATGGGGTCGGAGGATCGCGCCGCATTGGTGATACATCGGCGATGCATCGGCGATGCATCGGCGATACACTGGCGCTGCATCGGCGACGTCGGCGATGCATCGGCGACGTCGGCGTGGAGAAAATCGAGATCCACATCGATCCGCATCGCCGATGCATCGTCCATGCGGCGCGATCCTCCGACCCCATCTGCTCGGACCCCATCTAGGAGGCCTAGATAGTGGGAGGAGGGGTAGGATGTGGGCGGAGATGCGAGGACGAGGAGAACAAGCACAAGGTGTTAGGGGGCGACTCCTGAGCCAGCTGCTGACAGCGACTACGGCGCCCTTGCTGGAAGACACGGATACAACATCTCAGCGATCTGTGGAGGGCTGGGGGCAGCAAGGGGCGAGAACTGGCCAACATGGTATGTCCTGGTCTCCGAGGTCCTGGCTGTTCAAACCGTGGGTCTCAGAACTCTCGACCCATTCCCTGCTGTATTTTGCTTCGCTCCCAGCAGTTTCTTGATGGCTCTGGGGCTCGAAGGCAGCCCCTTCGGCCCGAAACGACAGAACAAACAACGGGATTGATAGAAGTACGACGTCGTAAATCCGGGCAGGGAAAAGGAGAGGAGAGAGAGTGAAGACGACGGGGCTGCGGCGGTGATGCCAGAAGCCGAAGATCCATGGCGCTCTTGTACTGCAACTCCCCAGTGACCGGGTCCGGTTTCTGCTTCTGCATCTGCGTCTTGACGAAATCAAACGGCAGCGAGAAGAAGGACGCGAAGAAGCCTCCCCTCCCCTCTTGGTCTTGGACCTGGACTACGGCTCAAAAGTCTATCCAGACTAGCCGGCAACTGGATTATCTTACACTATACCTGCAGATAGCCCGTATAATAAGGACGCACGATACGGATGCAAGGGCCTTGGAGGCCATGCCGACACTCTGCGAGCGGGGCGTGGCCAGCGAAAGCGGCCAAGTATGGGCCGAAGGGGAAGGATGCAAGGGCAACCTTGGAAACTTGATCATTCCTACTATGCTGGTTTACTGTACCCATTGGTCGTTGAAACTGAATATTTTTGGAGCCCCAGATTACAATCTACTTTAAGCGCCTTCCTACTTCAATGATCGAATGGTTTCACCTTTTTCCGTCCTCCGTAGGGGGCGGACGGAACCCAACGTACTTTCCACGCCTTCCTACTTCAGGTTTCTACCTATATACTTCTTCCGACCGATGGGTACCCACGAGCTCTCTCGCTGACGTCGAGCACTCAGCCAGCACGGCTGCCTCAGACCCGAACGAGCCACTTCACGCTCTGTGGAAATTACCCTCCGTAGCCACAGGGCATGCTTCCTCCGCCCATCTTCCCATCTTCCCTCCTCGGTCCTCGCCTCCCACCTCCCTCCACTCCGTTACCCCCCCCTCCCTCCGCTCCTTCCCTCCCTCCACTCCTTCCCTCCCGCCACTCCTTCCCTCCGCAATTGCACTATATGTTACGATCTACATTAACTCCTGATGTGATGCTTCTCACCTCAACTCCTCGAGCCGAAGGCTATCGAACACAACATGTCATGCTATGCTCGCCTACGCCTTGCCTTACCTATAAAACACCAACGCGCCCCCTCGGCAAACAGTAGCTTGCGGAGGTCATGCCGAAGTGTTTTCCACCTCGTCTGAAACTCGCCGCCTGTACGCCAACTTCCGCGCTGCTTCCGCGCGGCGGCCTAGCTCGACCGCCCAATGTGGCGTCCGACCGCCAGGTGGGTTCACTCTTGCCGTGGCCGCTCAAGCTTTCACTTGTCTTTCCGATCAAGCATCTCGTCTTGGCTCCAACAACCCTCGCATGCGGTAGGAGTCAGAATGAAACGGGGCTGCTGTCGGCCTCTGGCGTACGTCGTCATCGATTGTGTAGCCACGGTCCGCCTCGTGCCCTTCAGCTTGGGCTTCTTCGTCCGCACCTCCCCGACGGCCTCAAGGGAAGTGCCGCGGAACTCCGTGAGCTTCTTCACCGCGTAGTGGTGCATTATGCAGCCAACCACTAAACTGATCATCCTGATCATGAGCAGCATGGTCCAACTCATCTGCGATGCCGTGCATGGTGTCACCGTCGTCGGACTCACCACCTCGTAGCTGTCCATCACTGCTATATGGTTCTCCGCCTTCGTCGTGCTGAGCATCATCGCTGCCGCCAACAACGCTCTTGGTCGTTTGTTTCTGCCTGCCCACTGGCCGCTGTCGCCACTGAGCGCCTCGCGCTTGCTGGTCTCGAGCTCGTCTCCGTTGTCGGATCCCATGCCAAGCCCCGCTCTCCACTCCACGAACTTCGTGGCCTGCAGTGACTTGGTGTAGCCGTCTGCCGTGTTGGTAGCAGTCGGCTCTTGGTGAACTTTGAGCTTCTTCTCGTCGGACTTCGCTTGCAGCCACAGCAGCCTCGTCTCTATGTGCTTGAGCGCTCCACACCCAGTCCTTGATATAATGCCTCGAGCCGCCGTCGAGTCCAGCCTGAGCTCGAGCTCCAATGGGAACCCTATGAACTCCATCAGCCTCTGCATGTGGAGGCCCTCCGCCACCGTGGTGACTGCCGCGTAGTACTCGCTCTCTCCTGAGGAGAGTGCCCGGCAATTCTGGCCCACCGTGAACTCCCTGAGGTTCGTCGTGCCGAACTTCAGCGCGCAGCCTGATGTGCTCTTCCTGTCGTTAACGTCTCCTGCCCAGTCTGCATCTGAGTAGGCGTCCAGGTACTCGGTGTTGTCGCTCTTCGCGACCAAAATCCCGTAGTCTGCCGTGCCCTTCAGGTACCTTGCCAACCGCCTGAGCCTCTGTATGTCTGGGTCCCTCGGTGCGCTGAGTGGCTTGCTCAGCTCGTGAACTGCGTACGGGATGTCTGGCCTGTGCTTCAGAAGATGCCTGGGGATCCCGACGCGCTTGTTGTGCGACTTCTTGTCGACTGGGCTCACGACTGGCAACTCCAGGTCCCCTTTCTTCCGCGTATTGACCATCGGTGTCGGCACGTCCTTGCAGTCAGTCAGCCCGAGCTCGCTCAAGATGTCTTCGATGTACTTTGGCCTCGGCGCTATGTGGATCGTGTGCTTATCGACTCTGGTGCGCGTCGCTCTGAGATATGAGTACACTGATCCAACCTTCATGATATTCGCCTCTTTGAGCTTGAGTGCTGGCGCTAAGTTCTCCTTCAGCCACTTCAACTCCGCGTCGCTCCCTGACGAGTAGATGTCGTCCTGATGCACCTCGAACACCAGTGTTGAGCCTGGCCTTCTGAAGATGCTTGGCTGCTCGGGGCGCTGATCGATCCCAAGCATCTTGGTCTGGTCTGTCACGTACTGGTTGAACTTCTTGGAGGCCTTGCGCTTCCCGTAAAGCTGCTTCCTCATCTTCCACCATGGCCTCTCGATCTTGCCGCCGCGAGCGTGGTACCGCTTGACCCACTCAACTGGCGGATCCACGTACACCTCCTCGTCCTCGTCGGCGTGGAAGTACGCGTTCTGGGCGTCCAGGACCATCGTGTTGTAACCGTGCTGCACCGCGTGCTGGTCTATGAGCCTTCCAGTGCTGCCGGTAGCTCCTGCCGTGAACAGCCCTTCGAGGTCAGGATCGTCGCTCTTGAATTCTCTTGCAACGAATCTGCATCTCCACTCGTCTGGGCCTCTGGGTACGTTTTCCCATCTCGTGGACAGAAGATCTGCGTCATCAGGGATCTTATCCACAAGGTCGAAGATGTCGAACTCCTCCATCGCGTTCATCTCCTTCTCCTTTCCTTTAAGAATGGCCTTCACGATATCAGGGTCGGCGCCCTGGTACTCGTCCCTGTTCTCCTGCAGGTAGGCGTCGTCGTCGAAGTCCGCCTGGTGCTCTTCCGCGTCCATTGTGACCAGCTCGTCCACCCTCGCCTTCTTCTCGGTCGGCGTCCTGATGCCTAGCGATTCCTCCACGTCTCGCTTAACAGGCGATGGTGGTGGTCTCTGTCTTGACGGAGCAGGCCCTAGGTGAGTGAGCTTTGTCTTGGCGTCGCTGTGCGTTCGCATCCATACTTGCTGCACCGTCGCCCCCAGCTGGAGCTGTACCGTCGCCCCCAGCTGGAGCTGCTGTCTGACTTGGGGCTGCCTGCTGCAGCACCACCTTGTGGCTCCAGGTGCACCTGAGCTCTCGGCGCGGATGCCCCTGCGGCCGCGGGCGGCCCTGGCGCCACAAGTGGTACAGCCTGCGGCGCCTTGGGTCTCTTTCTCGGTCTTCCCATCGGTCTGCGAACCTATCCCACGGCGTGCCCTTGATGGCCTTGATGAGGTCCGCTCGATTCTGCTCTGGGTCTGGCACCCTCTTGACCGTCCTGGTGGTGAACACGCCCTCGCTGGTCCCGAACAGGTGCTCGTCCGACTCGACTGTCTTGCCCAACCAGATCCCTCTCTCGAACCTGGCGGCAGCTCGTCCTTGTCTAACTCCACCTCGTATTTTGCCTGTCGCCGTGACCGATAATTTGAAGAGCGCCGCTTCTCCGAACTTCAGAACTTCTCCCTGGTACGCTTTGCCGTAGCTGTCCTCGTAGGCTGTTCTGTGGTTCGCCTTCACGCGGCACCGCTCGAGCACCCAGCCAGCGCGCCTCACTATCCAGGGCCAGATGTCCATGGAGGGGTCGATCTGTATGCCTAACCGCGCTTCCATGTCCAGCCTCATCGTCCTTATCTGGCCCTCAGCTGATTGCTGAGCTCTGCCCCCACCTCCCACGCTCTGGCTGCTGAACCTCGGCGTCTTCTTGATCTCGAGCTTGATCCCGTCGGTCAGGCACTTCTGCCTTACCTTCTCTGCGATCACTCCCAGCGCCTGCTCAGGGTCCACCTTGAGTATCGCCTTCGGGTAGGCCATCAGATGTAGTTCGTCTCGTCGGACTTCGTCGGGACTGCTATTACCATGGGGTTCTGCGCTGCCGCATCCACCAATACCAACGTCGTCGCCCAGGCCTGGTCTCCAGGGTTGTGCCTCCTCTTTGGGTCCTGCAGAAGGTAGCAGAAATCCATCTCGAACTCGGGTGGCTTCTTCGTCTCCTCTGGCCTCTGCTCGCGCGGCTTGGCCCTGCCCTTGCCCATGACGCACCACGCGCACCGCGGCTGATAAGGCAGGTGCGTGACCTCGTGTCGTGCTCGCTCTTCTGGTGTCGGTTCAGCTGGCGCTCGTGGTACGATAACTTCGCCCTGGCCTCCAGCTTCTGCCCGCTCCCTCGCGCGCTCCTCGAGCCACTTCTCATCCCTGATCTGCAACGCGAGCTTCGCCTCCGCGTGCACCGAGCGCCCCCGCAGCTGCTGCTTGGTACCCCAGATCGGGGCCTTGAGCTCCTTCAGCCTCTTCCGCATGTCTCCCACCGAACTGCCGCTGAGGAGCCCCCCATTGACCGACTGGCTCGCCGCGCTGTCGAACCTCGAGCCATTGTTGGGCCAGCTTTTCTGCTACTCGTTCCATTCGATCGCTTCCTGATGCACCTGGGTATGGCGCTTGGGGCGCCCCTGCGACTGCCACAGGCTGTGGCGCCGCTGCTGCCGCTGAGCTCGAAGCCGCTGCCGAGCTTGATGCTGCCGCACTCCCTGGTGCCAGCTGCATCACCTCGCCCCCGACTGGCGCGATCATCACCGTCGGCTTGATGGGCGATAGCTTCCTTTTGATGTGTAGTCCAAACGTACGTCCCTTCATGCGCACTGGAACCTTCACCCGTCCTCGGTCGGTGTCGATCTCCAGCCACGGGTCGTCTTTCTTGAAGTGCATGTCGACGCCGTTCCTCGCGAGCTTGCCGACGCTCAGGAGCGCTCTCTTCACATCGCTCTGCACGAACGGCGTCTTGGCGTTGATGATCGCGCGGCCGTTGATGTCCAGCACCGCATGCTCGACAAGGGTCTTTCGGCCTGACGGGATCTTGTCTCCGTTCGCGCCTCGAAGCCGAACTCCACCAGGTCCGATGTCAACTCCATCCTCGGCGAAGTCCCACGGGCAGGTGTGCTCCTCGCAAGCGCTGTCCAAGGGAAGGAACTCGTCACCTGCCTGGCCGAGGCCTTCTCTCCACACATTGAACACCCACTTGTCGCCATCGTCGCTCTGGTCGCCGCCCTCTTGGTCGTCATTGCTCTGAACCTCTGGCGACTCGACGTCGTCGTCATTCATGGTCTCGACCTGGCCCTCGTGCTCATGCGCGCGGTTATCCTCGCACTCGTAGGCTTCGATCTCCCAGGGGTGCACCTCTGAATCCTCGTCGTGCTCGCCTGTGTCCTCGTGCTGGTCCTTTGCGTCGCTATAGTCGTCCCAGTGCTCGCACAGCGTGCGCCCGTACTCGTTGTCGTTGTCCGCTTTCACCTCCTCGATGACCGCCGTCGCTGGCTTCTCTTCGACTGATCGAACCTGTTTGGCTGGTGCCTCTCCTCTGAGTCGAGATTTGCATTAGGCCCACTTGTGTCCTTTCTTGCCGCAATGCTTGCAGTCGCCCTCGAACCTGGTCTTGGGTCCTGCTGCTGCTCCACCTCGACCTTTACCTTTTGAGCCGTCGCCTTTGCCTTTGCCCTTCAATCTGCAGTTCTCAGCTCTGTGCCCAGGCCGTCCGCACATGAAGCAACCACCTTTACCTTTGCCACTGCCACCCTTGCCGCGATCCTTTCCGCCACCTTTCCAGCTGTTGTAAGCTGCGTCGACGTCCATCGGTGTGGGTCCCATCTGGTCATCGACTCCGACGCTCCTGCCGTTCCTGTTGAAGGTCCTGCCGGACTGGAGGTACTCTCGGATGCTCTGCTGCACTTCCTTGTAGCGTCCGTTCGCTGGCCCTGTCGCCAGTCTCACCATTGCTCGAACTGATTCTGGAGCATGGCTTGCCAACGCTGCGATCTTCATCGCGTCGCTGACCGTCTCGGTGCTTTCCGTCTCGTACTCTGTGATGCGGGTTTCCCATTCTGTCAAGTCTTTCGTGAACTCCTGGCTTGTCGCTCTCTGGTCCCAGCCTGGCTGCAAGATCCCCATCAGCAATGCGGTGTGTCTCCCTCCGACGTCTGGCGCGCACTCAGCTTTGATCCTCTTCCATGCGATGATGCCATTATGCTTCTCCGCGCCTCTCACCAACGTCAGTGCCTTGCCCCTGACCGTGTTGACCAGCAGGCAGTAGAGCTGCTTGGCCCTCTGCTGCTGTTCTGGACTGAACACGCTGAACTTCAGGTCCGTCAGGTCTCTCGATGCTGCGTCGAGGGTGTCCTCTAGATCAGCCATTCCGCACACGCTCTGGAAGATGAATGACCACTCCTGCCAGGCTTCGTCTTTGCCGTTGAAGATCGGGCACTTGTTCAGCACTCGCGGGTCGATGTGCTGCTCCTGCCCGCCGTCGATCCGTGTTCCTCTCTGCGGTCCAGCTCCTGCACCGCCTGCCGTCTGCTCTGCTGCGAGCCGTGCTGCTCGCTCTCCGTCGAGCTGCTGGCGCACCTCCTGGAGTGCCTGGGCCAGCTGCTCGAGCGTCGCCATTCCGTCCGTGGATCGAAATCTAGCTCCGCGCAACCATGTTACGATCTACATTAGTTCCTGATGCGATGCTTCTCACCTCAACTCCTCGAGCCGAAGGCTATCGAACACAACATGCAATGCTATGCTCGCCTACGCCTGGCCTTACCTATAAACCACCAACACTATATGAATACTACTCTCCTCTCTCCCCTGGTGGCGTCCGGGGATTGTTATTGTTCGGCCCCCCTCCGCATACTGGTTTCTTACACACCGGATTCCCAAGAATTGGGTTTTCGCTCGGTTTTTGTTCAACATGCTGCTATTGCTGAAGCGCTGACCTCATTTTCGGGCTACCGCTCGTTCCGAATCTTGCTCCCACTGCAGCGCTGGCCTCATTTCCGCGCTTCCGCTCGTTCCGAATCGTGCTCCCGCTGTAGCGCTGGCGTCATTATTTCCAGCGCCATGCCACGGCATGGTCTTCGGTCCTTCCTAATAGGCCCAAAACTCTAGAAAATGCCCCCCAAAAAAACTATCGGAAGTGATTACACATTCGGCGACGATTCGTTGATTCTTGAGGCCGCAGAAGCGCGTCACCACGCCGTGCTATGTCAGGCTACGCGTCCTCATTTCCGCGCTTCCGCGCTTGGGCTTTTGTTCAAAATGCTGCTCTCGCTGAAGCGATGGCCTCATTTTCGGGCTACCACTCGTTCCGAATCGTGCTCCCGCTGCAGCGCTGGCCTCATTTCCGCGCTTCCGCTCGTTCCGAATCGTGCTCCCGCTGTAGCGCTGGCGTCATTATTTCCAGCGCCATACCACGCTGGTTTCCGGTCCTTCCGAATGGCCCCAAAATTTAGAAGATGTCCCCTCCGAAAAAACCATCGGATATGATTACTAATTCGGTATCGATTCGTTGATTGCTTGAGCCGCAGGAACCCCACTTTGGGGCGTCGCCACGCCATGCTATGTCAGGCTACGCGTCCTCATGTCCGCGCTTCTGCGCTTGTGTTTTTTGTTTTTGTGTTTTGCTGTGCTGTGTTTTGTTGTGTTGCTTTGTTGTTTTGTGACTGGTTTGTGTTTGTTTTCAACATACTGCTCTCGCTGAGACGATGGCCTCATTTTCGGGCTACCCCTCGTTCTGGATCGTGCTCCCGCTGCAGCGCTGGCGTCATTATTTCCAGCGCCAAGCCACGGCATGGTGTTCGGTCCTTCCAAATGGCCCCCCAAATCGGAAATGATTACACATTCGGTGCCGATTCGTTGATTATTTGGACCGCAGAAGCCTCACTTTGGGGCGTCGCCACGCCGTGCTATGTCATGCTACGCGTTAATATTCAACATCATGCTATGCCATGTATGCTACGCCATGCTACGACACCTGACTATGCGAACAGAGAGGAGATCTACGCCATGGTAAGGGATGGGAGGGAGGCGTAGGACGTCAGATATGACGCGAGCGCACCTAATTAGCTGGCCCCCCCCCATCCCTCCCTCCCCTCCCTTCCTTCCACTCCTTTCCCTCCCTCCCCCCTCCCCCCTCCCTCCTTGCTTTTTCTTGCGCTGCCTACGGGGGCGCTGATGGCGCCTGCCTGGAGCGTCAGGCCCCGCGGTCTTCCGCGGCACAAGCAAGGATGCAGCGTACATGCAACAGGCGCCTGACACCACACCAAAGGGCCTTCGAAGCCAGGCGAGCATGGCCAGGACGAGACACAGTGCGCCAGTCTAGAGCTCGGCCCTCTCCCTCTACGCGTGGGCCTCGAACACAACAGCTCAGACAAATCCAAAGACCAGGTTCAAGGCCGAGCTCTGTGGCCCCCTCTGAGCAGGGACCGACCGTCCCGGCATTTCTACAGGTCTACCACGACATGTTCTTAGAACCAACAGAAGTTCGAATAACAAAAACAATGTTCTCAGAACCTAAACCCGACGTGTCAAAACAAGGCAAGTCCAAGCCAGAAATGTTCCAAGAACACTTCGTGGAAACCACAAGAAGGTTCTCAGAACATTGTGTGGTAGGCCTATAGGCACGCCAAAACGCTTCGCCACTGCTATCTATACATATCCACTGCTCCCGGCCAGGCCAATCCTGGGCCCAAGAGCTGTGTATACGCCCTCCTGGCTTGGCCAGGGAGGCATATACACCGCTCCTGGGCCAAGGATGGGCCTGGCCGGGAGCAGTGTATATGCATAGATCTCGTCGCCCTATGCTTGCCCCCCCCTCCCCCCTCCCGACCGCCTTCCCTCCAGCTCCCCCGGCTCACGGTTCCGCGGCGGGCGCCGCCGCGCCGCGCCAGCGATCGGGGCCCCGCCTCCCCCGCCTTTGGCGCCCTGCGTAGGTGCTCGGCGTTCCCTGGGTCCTCCTCCTCCTCCTCCTCCTCCTCCTCCTCCTCCTCTCCTCCTCTCTCCTCCTCCTCCTCCTCCTCCTCCTCCCTCCTCCCTCCTCCCTCCTCCTCTCCTCCTCCTCCTCCTCCCTCCTCCTCCTCCTCCTCCTCCCCTCCCCTCCTCCCTCCTCCCTCCTCCTCTCCTCCCTCCTCCTCCTCCCTCCTCCCTCCTCCTCCTCCTCCTCCTCCTCTCCTCTCCTCCTCCCTCCTCCCTCCTCCCTCCCTCCTCCCCCTCCTCCCTCCTCCTCCCTCCCTCCTCCCTCCTCCCTCCTCCCTCCTCCCTCCTCCCTCCTCCCTCCTCCCTCCTCCCTCCTCCCCCTCCTCCCTCCCTCCTCCTCCCTCCTCCCTCCTCCTCCCTCCTCCTCCCTCCTCCCTCCTCCCTCCTCCCTCCTCCCTCCTCCCTCCTCCTTCCTCCTCCTCCCTCCTCCCTCCTCTCCTCCTCCTCCTCCTCCTCCTCCTCCTCCTCCTCCTCCTCCTCCTCCTCCTCCTCCTCCTCCTCCTCCTCCTCCTCTCCTCCTCCTCCTCCTCCTCCTCCTCCTCCTCCTCCTCCCTCCTCCTCCTCCTCCTCCTCCTCCTCCTCCTCCTCCTCCTCCTCCTCCTCCTCCTCCTCCTCCTCCTCCTCCTCCTCCTCCTCCTCCTCCTCCTCCTCCTCCTCCTCCTCCTCCTCCTCCTCCTCCTCCTCCTCCTCCTCCTCCTCCTCCTCCTCCCTCCTCGTCTCAAGCCACTTGGGCTCGAGCCATTTTGGCGTGTGCCCGAGCCTCGACCCCGCCACGAGGGGGCTTGAGGGGCAAGTCGTCTCTCCCCGCAGTTTGCGAGCACCCACCGCCAGTCGGGAGAGCGATCGGCTTGGCAAAGTCGAGGTTTGATAGCGATGACGAAGGATGAGCAGGCATCACATCGGCCGTGGAGCCAATGTGCAGGATGCTCAGCATACGAGTGGAACGACGTGTTGCAAAGTCGATCATGCGTTTGTGCCCGGTGCAACAGATCCGTCAAGCTATACAGACCCAAGCCCAAGAAAGGCAGTGGAGGTGAATTTGGCCCCGATGACCAGATGCTCGCACTTCGCCAGGACTTCAAGGGTCAAGGCAAGGGCAAGGGCGGCGGCAAGGGGAGTGCACCAACCGCAGAAGCAGCAGCTGACGTGAAGGCCAGGCTCATTCGCATCATCGGGAGCACCCAGGACCTGAAGTTGAAGGCGCAGTTACTCGGTGAGCTCGAGGCGATGGACAAGCCTGGCATTCCCTCCGCGCCTAGTCTTACGCCTGAGGAGGCGCTGAAGCGTGCGGACGGGGCATGGAAGAATGCTAGTATCCGACACGACCAGGCGGTGTCTCAAGTGGTGAAGTGTCGCGAGGCCCTCAAGAGGGCCGAAGACAAGGAGTCGATCATGGCTAAGGAAGTAGCGGCGGCGGAGATCAGCAAGCAGCTGGCAGTGCAGGCTTTGGCACGAGCTGCTGGCATGACGGCGGCGGAGGCAGACGGCGCCAAACCTGACCAGAAGGCAGCGCCGTGGCAACTCCAATGGGACGAGGACTTCTTCAACCACATCGACGATTACGAGCGCGAGCAGAGCGAGAAGGATGAGTTGCTCAAGCTGCATGCGGAGCTGGTCTCGGCGCGCGAGTCGCTGACGGCCAAGGGCACTCAGGTCGAGGAGTGGAAGCAGAAGGCCTTGCAGATGCAGAAGGCCGTCACCACGAGGCTGGCCAAGAAGCGCAAGGGCGCTGAGGGTCAAGCAGCACCAGGTGACGGGGGCGCTGGAGCTAGTGATGGAGCTGGTGCCAGCTCGGGGGCGGAAATGATCTTGGCGCAAGGTCACTTGCAGGCCCACCGCACAGGGGGCCCTAGCGACTTCCCTGCCCTTTCAGCTGAGACGGGTGATGCCTTCGACGGCTTTCTGCCGATCACCCTCCACTTCAAAGGCTACTCGATGGTACTGATAGTATTTTACGGACTCGGCAGAGAGGGCTTTGCAGGAGATAGCGCGCAGCGTCTGCTTAGACTTGGGACATTCGTCTCTCTCCTGCAACCCCCCTGGGTGATAGTCGGAGATTTTAATTTGCCGCCAGCCGACTTGGCCCAGACAGGCTTCATCGATCGAATAGAAGGTTGCGCGCGGCAAGCTGATGTGCAGCACGCGTGCGTCACAGGCACAGGACAATCGCACATAGATTACGTACTTGCAAGTAGGGCAACTTGTTCGCACATAGGTCAGGTCTCGGGTGTTCTCGACGTGCCGTGGGGCACCCACATAGGCCTTAGCATCTCAATCCGTAGTGAGGGTCAGCAGCTTGTCACTCGTGCCCTCCAGGTAGCTTCGCCCCTGCCACAGGTCCCCAGGCCCTCCAAGCAGCCTAAGCCCAACAGCAAATCGCAGCGGGCGACGATCGATCGGCGTGAAGCGCGCGAGGCCTTCTCCGCTCGGTTCCAGGAGGCGTGCGAGGCCCTCTTCGGGGACGTAGTTGGTAGGCAAGGGTCCCAAGGACCTGGCAGTCAGTCGGCCGACGAGGCCCAGGCTAGTACAGGACCCCAGGATTTAGCTGGAGACCCTTTTCCCTTCGGGGAGCCCGATGATTTCCCAGAAGAGGAGGACCCATGGGCCCACGAGTCTAATTTTGCAGCACCCCGTGTCTCCGCGGAGAATGAGCCCGACGTGCCCTCTAGTAGCTCGGATACCCCTGGGGCCGCCAATGGATTTGAGCAGCCCCCCCCCTTTCCCTTGCTCCTGTGCTATCCCGCACATGTTTGGGGACAGCAACGGGCACAAGCCGGAACGCTTGAACAGACTCTGGAAGATGTTTGGCCAGCTATTGCTTCTTCACTTGCGTTTAGAATGGGTGGGGATCACGTACTCGACGTTAGCAACATGTTTGGGGCATGGGTGCAAGCAGCCGAGCGTGCCATTCTCTCACAGCACGGCAAGAAGCAGGCAGGTCGTTCGCGCTCTCAGGGGCCAGCTCTTTCTATTGAAGTCGTGCAGAGGCCAGAACATGTGCTCTCGCAACCTCTCGCGGATTCTCTAGCTAGCTGGCGGGCACGGGCCCATGTTGTTCTTCTGCGGCTCCATCGGCATAGGGTTCGAGGCAACGGTAGTCATCAGGTTGGGCAGGTTGTAGAAGTTGGTAAAGTTCTTTTGGGAGACCTGCCTGAAGGAGTTCACACAGTCCTTCCGACGAGTCAGGGGGCTTTCAGCTGGGATCAATGGCGGTCGTTCATTGGGGACCTGGGGGACCTGGACGTCGGGACTCTTGAAGTCTTGAAGGATTTCTCGGAACGGGCCTCGAAGAGGGCTCGGGGCCGTGCTGTGCGCGCCTCCCTTAATCGGCTTCAGCAGTGGATCGTAGAAGACAGCTCCCTAGGTGCAGCATTTAAGTCCCCGCGCAAGGCCCCATATGCTGCCGAGGAGTTTGTTACCCAGGGGGAGAGGGTCTTTAACCCCAAGGACATCATAGATTCCAAAGTATTTCGCTGGCAGCAAGTGTGGACCGCAGATGCGCTTGATATCGCAGGTTTGGATGACCTCTTTGGCACCATCAAGGCAGCTGCAGAATATGATCCCTTCCCCCCCCCCCCCCCCCCCCCTCACCATTGCTGATGTCAGGGGTGCCTTGAGGAAGATGAAGGGGAAGGCTGGGATGGGGATTGATGGGAATTGATCGTCTCTCTCCTCTCGACTTCGAGCGCTTGCCTGACGAAGCATTAGCCGAGCTTTGCATGCTGTACCCCGCTATGGTGGTGGTGGGGAGGTTGTTAGCAAAGAAACCGGGAGGGGATAGAGTGATAGGCCTCATCGCGATGCTGTGCCGCGTCTGGAATATCGCCCGTGAACCGTGTGCTCGGGAGTGGTCGGCGTCGCTCACATCTGCTTCGGACGCTGCTATCGCAGGCAATAGTGCACTCAGGGAAGCATATCGCAGGGTCCTGGAGTCCGAGCTGGCTGTGCAGTTGGGGGCGACGGTCGGTCAGACCAGACTTGACATCAAGAATTGTTACGAAGAGTTTTTACGATCACATCCAGTGGCCGCGTCTCACATTTCTGCTGCTTTGAGATTAGGACACCCGCCCGCGCTGCTCTTTCTCGAGTTACATACATGTTTGGCGCCCAGGTTGGTTTCGCAGCTCGGGGCGTATTCGACAGCATTCCAGCCTACCCGCAGCGTTGTACAAGGATTATGAGTCAACGGTTATGGATAGACGACCTCGACGGTTCGGTCGTCGGCTCGGGGAGCGCAGTGCGCACGGAGCTGGAGGCTAGTATTCGAGATGCACGCGTTTTTTCAGGCTGAGGACCTCACCTTGGCGGACAAAAGTGCAGTGCTTTGTTCCAGTCACCGCGTGGCACGGCAAGTTTCAGCAAGGCTTAAGAAGATAGGCATTCCGATCAAACCTGTTCTTCAAGCAGCGTACTTGGGAGTCGACCAGGGAGTTGGGAGGCGTCCTGCGAGGGCTACTCGAAGACAGAGGGTTATCAATGGGGAACGGTCAGAATGCCAAGCTTAGGAAGTTCGCCTGGGTCTCGAAGCGATATCTGGTGACCAAGAAGGTGGAGTTGGGAGGGCCCCAGGCGGCCTTTACTTATGGGATGCAGGTCTACGGCGTGGTTGGGAGTCAGCTCTTGGGGCTTCGGGGCGTCTCGGAGCTGTCTCGGGAGCGGCCAAAAAGGGGCGTTGCTTAACCACATTGTTGGACATTAGGACCCCTGGCTGCGATCTTGGGATCAGGCTCCCCGTTTCTTGCATTCGTGAGTGGTTGAGGACCTGGGTTTACGAAACACATACGCGCGCTGGCATCAGACGCGCGTGGACACAGGTTCTCACCGAGTTTCAGAGTCTCCAGCCCAATGGGTATGCCAGGCATATCAGAGGGCCCAAGTCCGCAACCAACGCACATTTGCTGCAGGTTGGGTGGGTTCCGCGTGCCCCTGACGCTTGGGAGGTTCCCAGAGCGGGGGATGGCACGACCAGTGAGTGGCAGTTCCACGATGACCAGCTCGTCGGGATGGATCAGACAGTCGATTTGCTTGCTGAATTCGAGCGCGATCAGGCTGCTCTGCTTTGGCGCCAGGCGGCCTCTCACTTTTGCGGCGCTGGCCTGGAAGGTGGAGCCAATAATGTGCCCCTTCCGCAAGCTGGTGCAAGAGCTGCAGCAAGTGCGGAAGGGCAGGCAACTGGCGGAGGTGTTAGTTAATGCTTCCGTGTGGGGGGGGGGTCCTGGACGCAATCCCGAAGCAAGGACGTAGGTCTTATCACTGATGATCTTTGTCCCAGGTGTAGGAAAGTGCGGGAGGACCCCCTCCACAAGGCCTGGTTTTGCGACTGCAACACGGGTCACAGGATTTGGCACCGATACTGATAAGTTTTGCTCGGAAGCTTTTGCACAGAGTGAGATGTACGCTTGCTTTTGGTTGAGGGGGGCTATTCCCTCCAGTTGGCTGCAGGTCGACCCGCCCAGCAGCGTTGAGAAGTGGCAAACGTATGGCATCAATGATTCGATGTTGTATCCTGGGTGTCTTGGAGTCGGCCAGAGCGACGACCCCGTCCTTGTCTTCGGGGACGCGTCGGGGGGGCCTGATTCCAAAAAACCCTTGTTTCGGCGGGTCGGCCTTGCGGTGGCCACTTTGAGCAATTTCTCGCCTCCTGTTATCAATGCGGCTATATTCGGCCCACTGGTGGGCCCACGGCAAACTGTTCCTCGGGGTGAGTTGGTGGCCTTAGAGATCACCATCAAGTACACCATGGGTCCCATCGTCTATGTCGCTGACAATGAGGAGGTGGTGGAAGGGTGGTGGGCTCAGAAGTTCCAGAATCCCTCGGGCGAACTTGCGTCGGTCTGGAAATCCATCGGCAAGATTCCTAAAGACCAAAATCGACCCGTGCATGCAATTGTCGTGCTGTGGACTCCGTCTCATGTCGGCCCCGAGGAAGCCCTACGGCGTGGTCTTCCTTCTTTCCTGGGCATCGGGAACACTGTTGCGGATGAGATTGCTGGGGAGTGTACACGTCAGATTCGTTTGCCGCAAAATATACGGGCACGGGTGTTGGAGGTTGAGGGCAAGGCCAGTATGGTGAGGAAACGACTAATGATAGCTACCTTGGACACCATGGCGGTGACGAACAAGAGAGCTGATCCATCGTCTTCTTCCCAGGCTGCTGCTGCTGATCCTTCCCCCCCTCCTCCCCCTCCCCCGCCGCGGCCACCGCCGTCCCCTGCCGCTCTTGCACTGTCTGGGTCGTCACACCAGATCGACGACGAGGGTAGGAGGTGCACGCGGTGCTTCTCTACGGCCAGCCGTGCTACTCGGACGGCCTGGCTCTGCACGCCGTGCTGTCCGCCTCAGGCCGTGGGCGGGGGTTTGTTCAAGGCGGCCCCAGGATCAGGAGCTGTGCACATCGGTGGTTCTTTCGCACACTCGTCACACCATATGTACTTTCACACGTGTAGTGACATGTGGTTTTGTCGTGTTTGTTCCCGTTTCGGTGCCGAGCAGATTCGGGACCTCGGCAAAGTTTGTACTACGGCCAACCTCACGCCCAAGAGGCGAGAGATTCTCGATCGCCTGTCCAGGGGCCTCAAGCCCAAGGAGTAGGCTCTCTTGTTGTAACGCTTCGCGTTTGTCCAGTTCCAGTTCCCCTCCCTCCTCGTACTTGTACTCCTCCTCTATCCCTCCCTCCTCCTCCTCCTCCTCCTCCTCCTCCTCCCCCTCCCCCTCCTCCTCCTCCTCCTCCCCCACTTCATCCTCAATCCTCCTCCTCCCGCCCCCCACCCTTCGCCCCATACTTCTCCTGCTCCCCGCCAGAAGCCGCTCAACAACCGGTCTCCGGGCCCGCTCCCGCGATCCAGCCTGGCAAGTGTTCTGAGCTGCAATTGGCCAGAGCCGCATGGGCCCCCACCCTGCAAGAGCACGACGGAGTGCTGCCAGCAAAGCGCACGAGCAGTGCTGAGATGGCCAATCAGCTGACGGAGCCATGTTGGGTCTTGCGTCTGCTTGCTGTCGGACCTGGGCCAGAAGGACTTCCTTCAGGAACATGAGACCCTCCGCTGTCCATCGCGCCCCAACCCATAAGATCACTCGAGGGTACCCTCCCCCAGGACGCACAAGAGCATCCAACAAGCACGAATGACATCAGGGTACCCTCCCCGAGCCGACCTCGATCTTATACCACGATCCGACCGTAAACCGCTGCACGAGAAGTTATCGAGGCGGCGGCGTGCAGAAGCGCGTGGCCCCGCGGGGGCGGCCGCGCTTATCCCCTTCCCCTCCGGCGATGGCCGACGCACCGAAGGTCAGCGGCGCGCCGGTGACACCGTAGCCCTTCAGGACGTCCTTGCTGGCGGCGCGCACAGGTGGGGCAGCGGGAGGGGGGAAGGCTTATTAGAAGGTGGCTGCTTCATACTTCTATAGAAGGCGCGGGCCTGGTCCGTTTTCAGGTGCAAGTCTGACGCCTTCGGAGAGGCGGCCTCCTTCGAAGAAGCCTCCCCCCTCCCCCTACAGCTGGACCTGGGACAGAACACGCGTCCTTCAAGAACACGCGACCCTGCGCTGGTCCACACTGAAGAACGCTCGAGGGCGTGCCCTCCCCCGACGGGCACCGGAGAGCAGCAGGGCACCTCTCGGAGGCCTTTCGAGGCCTCTATGGGGCTTCTCGCGGGCCCCCCTGGGAGGAGGTCTTTCTGTGGCTCCTTGATGGCATGCTGGTAGTCCCCTCTACGACGCTTCTCAGGGACATGCTGGGATGCCTTTAAACATTAGCCTGACGAAAGGCCCAACCACATGCAGGCGTGAGTACCGCAGGGCAGGCGGGACGAAGGATGCGCGAGGGCACCCGACGGGCACGGAGAGCAGCAGGGCACCCTCCCCGCGCCGGCCTGGCCTCTCGGGCCTCGGGCCCGGCCGCGCCCCCCCCCCCTCTTTCAGCGACCTCCGCGCGCGCCCCCGGGGGAGGAGGAGGAGGAGGAGGAGGAGGAGGAGGAGGAGGAGGAGGAGGAGGAGGAGGAGGAGGAAGGAGGAGGGAGGAGGGAGGGGAGGAGGAGGAGGAGGGAGGAGGAGGAGGAGGAGGAGGAGGAGGAGGGGAGGAGGAGGAGGAGGAGGAGGAGGGGGGGCAGGGAGGAGGAGCAGCAGGAGGAGCAGGAGGAGGGGTCCTTGCTGGAGGCGTTGAAGGCCAGCATCCCGAAGTTGAGGGCCATCGCCCGCGTGGAGGTCGGGATCCAGCCGGCCATGAGGCCCGCGGGCCCCTCGGGCCGCGGCGCGCGCCAAGGGGGGGGGGCAGGGGCGGGGCGGGGGGGCGGGGGCGGCCGGCCGAGGGGGGGGCCAGGGCCCTCGGGAGGGGGAGGGCTCGAGGCTCGAGGCTCGAGGCTCGAGGGCTCGAGGGCTCGAGGCTCGAGGCTCGAGGGCTCGAGGGCTCGAGGCTCGAGGGCTCGAGGCTCGAGGGCTCGAGGCTCGAGGCTTCGAGGTCTCGAGGGGGGCCTTCGCAGAGGGCGCCGCGCGTCTCGTCCGCGGCGCCGGTGCCCAGAGGTCTGGTCGAGCCCCAGGCCTTCTCCCCTTCATCTGCCATCTTCCTCTCTCCTCCTCTTTCCTCTCTCCTCTCTCCTCTCTGATCTCTGCTCTCTCCTCTCCTCTCTGCTCTCTCCTCTCTCCTCTCTTCTCCTCCTCCTCCTCCTCCTCCTCCTCCTTTCCTGCTCCTGTCCTGCTCCTGTCCTGTTCCTTATGAATAACTCCTCCTTGTCGCACGCCGAGGCCGGTCAGAAGTGCGGGCCTGGCGTTGCGCCTGAGACTTCCTTATCATTTATGAGCCTGAAGCTTGGAAACTGGCGACAGGTTTTCAAAGTGTGGCTCTCGCCTTTGCGCCACATTCGTTTTAAACATTTGCGAGAGTTTTACGGTCTGAGGGCGGGTGGTTTTCAAAATGTGTGGCAAACATTTCTAAGAGTTTCACGGATGGAGGGAGGGCCATTTACAAAATGTGGCTCTCGCCTTAGCGCCGCGCACGTTTGTTTAAACTTTGCAGGGGTTTCACGGATTGAGGGCGGTTCCTTTTCAGAGGTTCTCGCCCCAGCGCCGCACACAATCGCTTTAAACAATTGCAAGAGCTTCGCGAGTTCTCATCGTTAACCTTCAAGAAATGGCGTCTTCGAACGAATGAGGGCTGTCAAGGCGCGACAATTACTTTGATTCGCGAGTGTTGAAGTCCCAGGAATGGGTTTCCGGCACGATCCAAAATCAAGAAGACGCAACAATCAGGTGGACTCGTAGCGTTGAAGTCCTGAGAACGGCTTCTTGGCACGCTTCAGAATATCCACACAATTGTCTCCCAACGAGGCACTTCTCTCAGTGGAAGTGAACCCTTGTATGGGGCCTATGAGTAGGGAGCTTGGAGGGCGTATCCCAACATCGTTGATGAGTCTTGGGTCTACACATGTTTACACTGGTCCTCCTCCTCCTCCTGCTTTCTCCTTCTCCTCCCCCTTCCTCCTGTTTCCTCCTCCTCCTCCTCCTCCTCCTCCTCCTCCTCCTCCTCCCTCCTTCACCCACCCACACGGCTCGTCTGCCACTTGTTTGGTCTCCGCAGGAGGCCCGCTTCGGGCCCGAGGAGCCTGGCAGAACACGGCTCGCGACGGCACCCCGGCCCCGAGCCAGGGCTGGAGTCGAGGGGTCCACGGTATGGAAAACCGGCCGCAGGACACACAAATAAATACACAAATAAAAAGACTCCCCACCATTTTCATGTATTTTCTGGGTTTCTGTCTTCCCCCCCACTTTCCATACTTTCCCATAATATTGTCTGGAGAATCGAGGATTAATTGTGTCTGTGCGCTTTTTTCCTCCTGAATCATGTCGGAAGCCTTCGGCTGGGAGAGGGGGCAGGGAGGGGAGGAGGACCGAGCATTGAGCTTCGGGCCTCGGGCGCTTCTGGGTCCCTTGGCCCCCCTCGCCGCCAAGGCTGAATCTGCTTCGAAATTCTGGTCAGGACCCGCTCTGGGAGAGGTCCGGGGAGGACGGGGGGATGGAGAGGATAGGGAAGGGGGCCGCGGGGGGGGGGGAAGGTGGGAGGTGGAGGGAACTAGGCGCGATTATCTTCGCATCCTCCCGCCAGCACGCGGGAGATGCGCACCTTTGCGCTCCAGGCCGCGAGAAACGGAGCGAACATATCTTCGCGCCCATGTGGGCGAACTGGACGGAAGAGAGTCGGATGGCCTCCTTCTTCACGATCAGCGCCATGGCCGTGAACACGTTTGTGTAGCCGGCGCGCTCCGCCACGGGCTTCATGCTGTCCGCCTGCATGCGGATGAGCGCGAGGTCGGCCGGGTTCCCCACAACAGCCGCGAGGCCACCCGCGCCGAGCGCGCACACGGCGTTCTCGCCGAAGCTCAGCGACTTCCCTGGCGTCTTCATGGAGGCCGTAAAGCTGTCGAAGAGGCCCAGGCGCGCGCCCGTGTAGACGATCTGGCGGGTGAGGCCTCGGAGGCCACCGCCGTGAGCAGCGCACACGAAGCCGGCCCTGCGCGAGAGGACTCGGCGCCCTTGACGCGCTGGCAGGCCGCCAGCGCGGCACACCACGTGGAACAGAGGGCGCTTCTGCGCGGCCTTGCGCGGACGGCTTGCGCGCGAACGTCTGCGCAGTCGACTTGTCTTTTTTCTCTCCCTGTCGACAACGTGGGGCCAGAGTGGACGGCATCGGGGGATCGCACGGCATCGCCGGGGCATCGGCAGCGTTGGGGCGGAGAACCTCGGGCTCCGGTTCGCGCAACATCACCGATCCGTCGGCGGTGCGGCGGGATCTTCGAACATGATCTACGGTAGGGTCGTGCGGCGTCGGCGCGCGCAAAAAAATTTGACACCGATCGCGGTCCCGATCGTTCGAAGCTAAATTCCGTCGGGTCCTGTGGCACTACCGTGTCCCTCAGTGATTCCGCGCCGTTCCATCGTGCGGAACTCAACCTTGAACGCCTTCGCCGGCGTCGCTGGCGCGCCATCGCCGCATGCACCTACGGTACACTCCGACCCCCTTGAGGCGGAGGCCTGCAGTCAGGCCGGTGTAGAAGGCCGCCAAACCCTCGTTCTTCAGCACGTCCCGGGGGGGCCACGGTGGAAGCGGAAGGGGCCTCCTCCTCCCCCTCCTCCTCCTCCTCCTCCTCCTCCTCCTCCTCCTCTCGCTCCTGCCTCCTCCTCCTCCACCTCCACCTCCTTCTCCTCCTCCTCCTCCTTCCCGTCCTCCTGCCTCCTCCTCCTCCTCCTCCTCCTCCTCCTCCTCCTCCTCCTCCTCCCCCTGCATCCTCCCTGTTCCATCCTCAAATGTCCTCTCTTCCCCCTACCTCAACCCGTCTTGCTTTCAAGTGACTCCTGCTGATCGCACCACTAGGCATGTCGGTTGAGCGGGATGGATGTTTCGACTAAGTCTTCCACTTATGACACCGACTCTGGAAACTTCAGAAAATGACGCGTATGGAGAACTGGTGGTTTTCACAATGTTGCCTTAGCGCCGCGCACATTCGTCTTGCAAGGCTGCAACCGTAATACGGGTGTAGTGCGATTTCTTTTCAAAATGGATCTCTGAGTTGAAACATCCTCTCAGGTATCATCACCGAAACTGAACATGTGCAACAGGTACAACCAGGATGTAGGGCGGTGTCTTTCAAAACGGGGCTCTCGCCTGAATAGCAAGGCCATAAGGGGCGCTCTTGCTTCAACTGGGCCTTTCCAATAGTGATGGGTGCGGTGACGTGTGAGGGGACCCAGGACTGGGTGTAGTGCCGCATCGATATGCATCGATGATGCGTCCTGGGCTTACTCTGGTCCCTCCTCCTCGTCATCCATTTGGTCGTCGCTCCCCCTCCTCCTCTTCCACCTCCTCCCCTAGGAGGCTGCCATGAGGTGATCCTGGCCCAGCCAGGGTGCACTCAGCCTTTCGCGCCATTTGGGACCACCAGGGGGCCCCTCTGGGCCCTGCGAGGGATGCTGTTCGGGCCTCCTGA